TGAATCATGTATTAAAAACGGTTCATGTGATAAATTTAAACGAAAAATATCTGGTATATGAAATGTTGCAATATCTTGTTTTCTTGGAGAAGGTGGTAATGCTTTTGCTCGTACTCGATACCCTGTAGATCTGACCTGTTGAAACATTGGCATCTCTGCAGCTGATCCATATTCATGTCGCTAAAATTGACATTTTAAGGGAAAAAAAAGGAAATTTTAATGTTAAAACATACAAATTTCTTCGCAAATTTATCGTAAATTTGAGGCAATGGCGTTCTGATGTCTGAAACAACAGCTTCTCGAAATTCGTTTACTATTTCCCCTATATGAAATGGTAGTAAACGCTGCTCATGTTTGTGTGTTCCTCTCATAACTTGTATCTTATTTTCAAAAATGGTAAGAGATGCGCTGCATCTCTCATTTGTGCAGATGTAACGTATGGAGCCATTTATATTTTTTTTTTGTACTCGATATAAATCAGTACCAATCTGAATGGCTGGTGAACCACGTTGAGTTCTTGTATAATGAAATTCAATGGATTGATTCATTGACATAATCGTATTAAATTGTAAATATATCTTTTAAAACAGATGTTTATATTTAATCAATTAATAATTATTCTTTAGATTTTAGATATCTAAAAATTGATATCAATGTATATATGATGTGATAGAAATATAAAAAAGCATTCATAAATTTTTTCTTTGAATTCTTATAAATCTCGCTCGATTCATAATTTCATATTTCATTTATTTATCTATATTCTCAAACAATTTTTTTTTTATTTGTGAATTTAGTGTTAGCAAAGCAATTAAAGCAAATAAACTACAGCTACAGATTTAGTAACTAATCCTTTTAATAAAAAGATAAATTGTTGAACATTTGACGCTAGAATATTGAACCACATAGATAACCAAACAAACTAGGGCGACAGCCTTCTTAAGAAACATGTTGACATACCTCAATAGAGGTTTGGTAGTAATACATATCTTTATGTCTTTCCTTATTGAGTTTCAATAAATATTCGATCAGTTAACACAAATTGGTTTTCACGAAGAAGCATCAAAGATAAATTAAGGCAATTTTTTTAATCAAATGTCTCTGAAAATTTCAGATAAGAATAAGCATAGTATAAAAGAGTTTCATTTGTAACGAACCGTACGGATATTCTTCATGATAAATCGACTATATAACAGTGTTACGATACTTTACAAAAAAATCGTTCTATTTTTTAAATAAATTATGATCATTTAAACACAATCTTTATCCAATTTCATCATAAGGCGCGTAAAAGTAATATATTCGTTTCAGAAAAAATACTTTACTTGTTTTTATGAAAAAGCGCCTTTTTTTCTTAAAATAAACAAAGTACCTGAAATGAGACGCTCCCGACAGATTTCACACTATCTATATGAACAAGTAGCGTTCATCGAGAATCGATTTACTTTTTTCCCTAGACTGAGAAGAAATTGATATGTAATTGTTATTATATAAGCAAAAAAATATGACCCAATAAAGTATTACATCTGTATAAAAAGCTGACCTTTTATAGTTACAAGTGAACAGCTTAACAAAGAACCGAATACAGAAATATTTATGAAGTAAGATTAATATATATGTGAATACACAAACAATGATTTTGAACATTGCATATATGCAAAGAGTTGTTTGATGAGAACTTTTGTTTGTTTTTATTTCTATTATTACTTAATAATTATATTAATATATATATATGTACAGTAAATTAGTTTTATTAATCATTTAAAGTTTTTATTTATATTATTTTTCATTCTTTATAATGACTTTGTTGAAATCAATTTTTTTTTGTAAATGACAATGATCGTGATTAAAAAACCTGTATTTTTTTATCACGAGAAACCAGTTAAGAGAAACCAGTTAATATATTTCTTTCAAGTTTTAAATAATATACCAAACTTTGTAAATGATTATAAAGCGTGTTAAGTTCAAACGAGTTTGAATTATTTTTTGATTTAAAAATTTCAAAATGTTATATACAGTTATAAGTTCACAACCGATATCATCATGGCGATGTAAATAGAAATAATTATTAAATTCATTTATAAATTTGTATAGTTGATGACATTTATCAGCTATATTCATATCTGATGTGTTCATACTTATAATATTTATTAAACCATTACTAAGCTTATTAAGTTCATCATAAGCTTTACATATTATTGAACAATATACTTGAAAGTGGTTTACTTCAATTCGATCGGTAATCTTTTGTTTACACCAGTTACAGTACTCTGATAATCTCATTTGATAAAAGAGTACGTTATATGTTTAAAATTTAATGAAATTTACAAATGAATTAAACTTAATTAATAATTTAATATTATGTATATAATTACGCGCGTTATAAGTAATCAGTCAACAATAAAAATATAATTAATATGAGTTACAGAAAGTTATAATGGAAAAAACGTATTATATAAAGAAATTTTGGAGTTAATAGAAGGTCTATATTGATATAAATTTTTTATATAATAGAAGTTAAGTTATATTAAAAGAAATATTTTACCAAACAGAGCTATGATTTTTTTTTGAAGTTATTTTTTATTTTATAATTTATTTTTATGAAAAATATGTTAAACATACGTATGGAACATTATAATTGTTCAGTTTTGCTTATATGAATTATTCTATTCGATAATGTCTAAATTTAGAAATGAGAACGAAATATTTTATGAAAATTTGGTTAATATTTAAAAAAATTATCATTTTCGATAATGTTAACAGAGAATAATTTAGAGAGACAATAATATAATGGGTCTTTTTTTTGTTATCATAAATCGTACAAAAACAATATGTCTTATTAAAATCTTTTGTGATAATTAGTTTTCATTCTAGTTTCGTAATGAATAAATCGTTCAAATATAATATATATATATATTTGTATCGCACTATAATGATGATAGAAAATCATTTTTGTTTTCAATGTTTAAAATTAATAATATTCGAAAAATAATTCGAATTCAGTTAACACTAACACATTTCTCATCGTCATAAACTAAATAGGCAAGTCGTTTCATGATCGAATTGTACATATAATATTATGAACTATTTTAAAACAAAATTCTATATTTAAATTCTTTATATGTATTTCGTTTAATTTTTTTTAAATATTTTCATAAAAAAAATAAGAATGTTCTTCGTTTTGATTTTTTCAATATCATATATAAAGAAAATCTTATTTTATTAGCTTTGCGCGCCATTCGAAATATATATTATTTTAACGATCATAGTTACCATATGGTAACCATACGTGTTACAGACACACAGACAGACAGACAGACACAGGCGAATTTCGGTTTCTAGACCCTATACTTTCAGTCTAGGGAATAAAAAATACTATTTTTGATAATAAATTGTTTCTCTCTCTGTATGTTTTCTTTTGGATAGAAAAATGGCTTCAAACGAAAGAATAGTATATTTTCATTTTTCTATCTCAAATAACAGAGGATCAACACCATTTATTAATATTTTTTCTTTGTTTGTTTCATTCATCATAAATCTTTTTTCATTATCTTGCAACATTTTTTTGGAAAGACTCAAAAAAAAAATAGTGTTTAATCATTTTGTTTTTAAATATTTTTATTAATTGCAGTATGAATTTTATTATATACTATGATTTGTCTTGCATTAAATTTATAGTAATTTGAACATTTTTGTAGATGTTTTCGCTTTTTTACTATGATGTATAAATGCGCTCATGAATGAAAAAAAGCGATATAAAACGCCCTCTTTCAGATTTTAGAGGCTACACATCATTTTGATTCAATGACGATTTTGTGTATGTAGCTTATCTTGATCCTGTTGTTGTTATTTCAAGCAGTGTATGTTGTATAGAAGCATCCATATGTTGAGTATCATTAAACTTATCGTTCTCTTTCCTTTCCAACATGTCATATTTTTCCCGTGTTTGGATTGTTCCTTTTGCTCTTTTCGTCAGTATACATTTTTTCTTTCTTCTACAGAATACTTTTTCTTATGTTTTCTGAAATTTTCCGATGCAAATTAATTTCCACGTATGTTATATACATTCCCAGGCAAGCAAAAAAAAGAGAGGACTGGCGACATGTCTAGTCCAAAACGTCCGCAACAGCCGTCCTGTCTAGTCTAAAATACTGAGTGTGGCCGTCAGGACTGGTCAGTATTTTAAAAAGCGACATACTGAGAGGACTGGACTAGTCTAATATTTCTGATATATATGTCAGGACTAGTC